TGCTCAAAACCCAACAAGACTCACCACTACTGGAAGGTAACTCACCTCGAAAGTAGCTGCTGAAGTCTGCTTGCTGAGCGTCTGACTGCTGGATCGTAAATCCTCCGGGTACAAACCATAAACATGGGTTAGACACCCATCAATACCCTTAGGTCAAAAGACTGACCCTCCCTTGGCCCAAGGTCAACTCCCTGGTCAAAGTCAATGTCCATTTGACTGGACTCGCCGAGTCATGGCATGGACTCGCCGAGTCCTTTTCCTACTAACCCGGTCCTACTCAACCAATCCTTCTTCCCACTCACTGAATCACCCTTAACTCATGACTTGGGACGATTGAACCGACTCGTGACCCGACTCGCCGAGTTTGAAGAACAACTCGCCGAGTTCCAGGCAATCTTCATAGGATTCGCCGAGTTGTTCATCCAACTCGCCGAGTCTAAGGCCATCTTCATGGAACTCATCGAGTTCCTCCTTGGGACTTACCAAGTCCATGTGACCCATTTACCATATAGGCCAAATCTGAGACATGCAACGCTTCAAAACCATAGATCCATGTTCCTTAAGGATGCTTATCACATAAAGTTGCAAACTTTACGTGCATGCATGGCCCTATAAGCTCAAAAGGTCAAAACCAAACTCTTCAAGAGGTCATAGACTCAATGGGGACCTCAATCACTTCAACCACAAGAACTTTATGCTACTAAATCATCCAATAAGTCAAGATCAGAAGTCCTTTCGGATCATTAAGCACCACACATGGAGTTTGGTGTTTTAGGGCTTGAAAACCACCAATTTGGGACAAAAATGGTAAATAATGATCTAAAGATCAAGGTAGAGACTTTTTAACTGAATGGAAGCTTCTCCCTGAGTAGAGTTCGGATCTACTCCTTTCCTTGCACTTCTTCAACCACCTCTTTCTTCTCCAACCTCCTTCACAAGGCCAAAAACACTCTTAAGAACAATATGGGGGGGCTAGGGTCTCACTCTAATGCTCTCTGGAAGTGTTAGGGATAAAGGAGGCCAAGATAGAGTGTTTAAATAGGGTGCAAACACCCGGATTAGGGTTTTTGCCTAACCAGGGCCTACTTGCCGAGTCCGGGGACCGACTCGCCGAGTCCATAGTCCAACTCTCGTACCTTGTCCCACTCCTACTCGTCGAGTTGGCCCATCAACTCGCCAAGTCCAAGGCAAAATACATTATTTAAGAAAGTAAATAGCAAGGAGTATGTACTGGGAACCAGGTGCTACAGTTCTAGGGTAGGGTCATCTATCTGGGTGGCTAACTCACCTCTGATTATATACGGCCAGGCATTTCTTAGATTGTTGTTACTTAGTATGACACAGTGCTGTAGTGATTGGTTAGATCTATATTCTGGTATCGAGTATGTAGATAGGTTGTAGTGATATGTTAGATTTGTATTTTGGTATTAGGTATGCTGATATGTTGTAGTAATATGTTAGATCTGTATTCTGGTGTCGAGTACGTTGTTATGTTGTAGTGATATGCTAGATATGTATCTTGGTATCGAGTATGTCGTTATGTTGTAGTGATCGGTTAGACTTGTATCCTGGTATCGAGGATGTTGCTATGCAGTAGTGATCTAATAGATCGGTATCCTTGTATGTATGCTATATTGTACTGTTGGTTTGGTATGTTATCTGTACTTGCTAGTTATCATCTGGTGGACCGCCCTAGGGATTGTTTGTAGTTATATAGGATAGCCTAAAAGCTCATGGTCTAGGCTCTCTTGCATTTTCCTCATTTGGTTGTGGCTCTAGATTAGGATCACTTGTTTAAGTGGCTATCTCACATCTGGCTACATATGGTTACGCATTTCATGGAGCTTAGGTGGTAAGGGGACTATGTGCTTTGAAAATGATTGTTGTTGCATGTTTTATGTGCCAGATTGATCCTTATTTGTTTATATGTTGACATATGGTGGTGGTGGGTTGAAGTGGTCCTACTTTGTATTGTAGGACAGCATACTCTGTGCGGGTCGGTTGTAAGCCGAAGGCGCGGAGGCTTGGGAGGAACGGTTGGGTTGAGGCAATAGGCCAACAAACCCTGGTATTCCGATCTGGTTAGACCGAAGGCCGAAGAGCGGCTGTTTTGCTTGCTTGTATGTTTATCATATAAGGTATTTTGGGGAAACTCACTAAGCTTTATGCTTACCCAGTTATTTATGGTTTTAGGTATCATCGGTGATAGGGGGAAGGCGAAGGCGGGACTGTACACACTCATCAGCAACATTGAAGATTTCGCGTTTTCTACGATACTCATTTTTTAAATAATGGATTAATAAATTGGAAAGTTTTACCTTAATAAAAATGAAAAAAATGGTTGTGAAAACGAGACGTTACACATTATATAATACAAATGGCATAACCATTCACTTGTATAACCCATCACGAGTCTCGAAGGTCATCTTTCACTTATCGCGCAGTCTCATTTGAATCTATTTGTACCCAATTCTCAAATCGATATTCGAGAACATTGTCACACCATGTAACTTTTCAAATAGATCATCATTTGGGGAATAGGAAAACGATACTTGATTTCGTTATCTTGTTAACGGCTCGACGGTCAATGCCCTCAACTAATCTATCTAATTTTACATATAAATATTGAATTAATTATATATAGTAGACTATCAACGGTTTGGTTTTACAGAATATGGCACAACGTGTATTAATGAATGTGTGAAAAACAAAATAGCCATATAAACTTACGACAATCAAACATAATACAAATTATACATCCTTTTACACATAAGAGAGGCAGGAGTCATTCCCTCCCAACCCACTCAACTCACAGCCACATCAGTTTTTTGTTCTCTCTCTCTTTTATTTTTCACAACCCACAACATACGAAAACTCTATATTTTCCAACCCACTTTCCACATTATTATTTTTTATTTAATTAAATCAGAAAATATAACATTTTTTCATTTAAAAATAAAATTATGCTTATTTAGCAAAAAATCTAAAATAATATTAAAAATAACATTTAATTAAAACCCCACACTACAAATAAAAAATACAAAATAATTAAAAACAACTACGCTTAAAAAAGACAAAATAATTTAAATCCTAAAACGACAATTAAAGTTATCTAGTTATTATCCAAAGTTGGAATGTAGACATGGTCAATATGATCAGTAAATTCGGATCCTCATCTTTCAATATAATATAGTATAGTATAATACAAGCGTACATTATATATTTTTTTCTTCACCGTCGTAGCCCGTGCAGGAATTTTTAATATGTCCCAACATCCTTTAATGGCCCCAAAAGCATGTTCTACATCCTTTCTTGTTGATTTTTGTGTCGCCTTGAACCATTTTTTTTTCGGTTACCGGATATAGATATGCCTTCACAAATACAACCCATGATGGATATACTCCATCCGCAAGATAGTAACCATGCTTGTAGTGTTCATCATTTATATAAAATGAGCAATCGGTCCTGTTCCATAATATTTGTCATCAAACAGTGGTGATTGGTAGAGGATGTTTAAATCATTGTTTGAAGCGGCTAGACCATAGAATGCATGCCAAAGCCATAAATCGTGTGACGTCACTGCTTCTAGTATCATTATTGGATACTGATGATCACCCCTCATGTATTGGCCTCTCAATTTCGTTGGATAATTCCTCCAATTCTAGCATGTGCAATCAATGCTACAAAACATTCCAGGGAATCCATGTCTTGCTTTATGTGCTTCATATAAAAGTTGAATGTCAGTGGATGTTGGATGGCGTAAATATTCAACTTTACAAGTTTAGACAACACCATAGAAAAAGTTTTCAAGAGCTTCACGAGAAGTTCTTTCTAACATATTAAGATACTCGTCTGACGAGTATGGATTAGAAACCTTCACTAATTGACATATTGTTGATGTGCATTTTTATAGTGCACTAGAACTTCTCTGATTTGTTGATTCCCATGTTATTTGAAAATAAGGATAATTCGTCTCCAGTTCACCAACACGTCACATAAACAAACCTTTGCTCCTACGGAACCTTCTATGGAATTGTATGTGGCCATAGGTTGAATCATCCGCAAAATAATGTCGGATCAATAGTCGTTCAACCTCTAAACGATCTCTTTGAATTGTGTTTCTTCTTTGCATGTCGCTTGAACTAGTATTAATCTGAAGAAGAAGTTGTAAAGTACGAGACAATACAAGTAACAAATTATTGTTGATAAGTTCATCCTCAGATGATGAAATATCATCATTACCTTCCATTACTATTTTTCAAAATGCTTGGATTCCTTTTGAAAATAGAGAAAATATAGAGAGAAAATGAAATAAACATACATATATATATATATATATATATATATATATATATATATATATATATATATAGACAATCATATATATATATATAATGAACTAACGTACATATAGAGAATCTTAATAAAAAGAAAAGAAAAACATAATAATAAGGAGAAAGATTCTTCAGTCAAATGATGGCGACATTCTGAACTTCATAGGTTATTAACTCCCAACCATACTTAGTTGCAATTTGTCGTTTCCTTTCAAGCACCATGCACAAAATATCACTAGTCAAATGATCATGCGGAGAAAATACTCCATATCTTGGTTTTCAATCTCTCGGTCCAACAATTGAGCTTTTCGTTCTTCATTAGCTTGGTAAATATGTAATTTTTCTTCCCAGTACCATTATCTTTGTTCCGCCTACGTATTGGTTGTAATGTTGATGCCGACAATTTGTTTGATGAGATCGAACATTTCATTTTATGTTGCCAATGTCAATGTCACTTTCTTTCCTTTTCTTTTTCTCTAAGGAGGTGAGTCTTCAAAATTAAACGATTGTTCTTGTTGTTAGGAGAATTCAGGAGGACACATGTGTATTGGAAGATGTTGTGTAGGTATTGGATGAAGATGTTTTGGTTTGTTTTGAAGAAGGAGACGGTGAGTCTTCACCAAACTTTGTAACCAATGCCTATTTCACGTTGTCTTTCAACCCCTCCTAAGCTTGTTGACGAGGAAAAGCTTTCTTATTAATAGTCCTCTGATACTTGCTTAGTGAAGCTTGTAAAACATCAGCCTCAAAAATCCTGCTAGACACACTGTTCATCCTATGATTATAGATGCAATTGAAAGCGTTACATTTATTTTGGAGGTCTTTCCATTTTGAGTTTATTTGGTTTCGTGACCGATTAGAACCTCTCATTTGAACATTAAAATGCTCTAGAACCCTCTCCCAAAACCTTTGTTGATTTCTGAGTTCTTTATCTTTAGAAACATCAACATATGCCCTAGCCAAAGCCAACTCTTTGTGTTCCACCCATTTTCTTTCGCTTTTTGTAGTGTGTATAGTTGCGTTTTTTCTCAGCAACATGTTACAACTCCTCGTTGGTTTCTTCTTTTCTTTCGGGAGCCGATCATCACTAGAGCTACCAGATTCTAAGTTTTGAGCATCACGAAACTGGAGATTCTCGGGTTGAGAAGATTGGAATTGGGTTTCTGGAACTTTTTGAGAAAACAAATTTCATGGGTTATAACTTTAATTTTCCTCTAGAAGCCTAAATGTGTTGTAAGATTTGCACTGAGATATATCGTAGGTAGTTTTGATATTGTTGATAGTTTGGATTTTGAAAATTGAGAAAAAATAGAATATCTTATCTTAAACCGTCTTGTGTGGCTTTGCGTCTTTGGCTAAACCAACTTGTTTAGCTTTGTTTCGAAAATCCATTGAATGTAATTGAAGAAATTGAACGAAATAAAAAAAAATTTCAGAATAAAAACATTACAAATGATTGAATTATGTATTTATGTTTATAAACTTATAAAACAAAAAATAAAGAAAGGAATATAGTTACATGTATTCAAAACAATTCAAAATAAAGTTGCGGTCCATACATTGAAGTAATTATCTCAAAAGTTGTACAATACATTAATGCAATACATGCAGATGTGTTCACATACCCAATTGAAAACCTTAAACAAAAGAAACCACTAAACCCACTTAAGTAGGTACTGTTTCCCGGCGGTTCTCGTTTCCAAACTGCATTCGGACTCCGTCCTCCCTAAGGCAAGAGATGGCATAAAAATGCTAGGGGCATTAGGGCGTTCACATTGTAAGATTATTTTATTAAAAATTATCAATTCTTGGTATTAGCTTTCTATATAATTTAGGTTTTCATCTTTTAATTGCCTTCAAAACTTAATGCGGGGTCATTTGGCGAAATTTAAGAACAAAATAAATATTATGGTTAGAGATTAAAGGATGATTTAAAAAAATAAAAAAAAGATTTTATCTTGAACATAAATATAAAAGATTTTAAAATCATCTGATCTAATTAAATATCATCTTACATTTTATTCATACTCAACTTTCTATCATATCAAATATTAATATCAAATATTAACATGTATCACTTTTGATGATACATTTAATAAAATTAATAATAATTTAATCTACTTATCGCTATTTAATTTCTCAAATATTTATGGTTAGAGATTAAAGTTTTGATGTTTATTTTTTGAAAATATTACTATTATTGAAGATTATATACAAAAAATAATTAATAACTGCAATACACCATTTCATTCCATCATCACGGTAAAGAAGCCTCATCAATGAAATAAAAATTTAATTTCATTCCTACGTGACAAACAGACAAATATACTGCACATCAAACACTACAAATTAAAAATTAATTCCCTTGTAAGGCTCTATTCCATTCACTATTCCTCCGATCTTCATTACTACCAGCAAAAAGCTAGTGCCTAAAGATTCTATAAGAACTTACTTTTGTAAGCAAAAAAGCAAAGCACATGCATACAAGGAAAATAAAAAGATTATGGCCTCAAAAAGCAACAAAGCAAACCACATTAGCACTATATCATTGACTCAAAGTAAAGAGATATCAAAAGAATATACACCACCCACTTACAGTTCTTTCACTTTTTACCCATCAACAATCAACAAAAAACAACTATCACCCTTATTTCCGAAACGAAAACCTTGAAAACTGAGAAACCAAAAACTCCCACCCTTTGGGAGACCCCATTTTACCCAACGACCCCCCTTCATTTCCATCAAATTCCCTCCAAAACTTAATCACATGTAAACTTTCCTCTTCAGTCGATCTCTGAACCACAATCTTTGAAGCAAAACCTTTCTCCCTCATTCCCAAACATATCTGCAACGGATCATTAGCAGCAAGAAACAACATATACAACCACCCTTTCTCCGACAAAAGCTTATCAGCAATCGGCAAAATCTTATCGATAACACTCCGTCCATTTTCACCGCCAGCCCAGGCGGCAGCAATCCCATCACCGCCCACTTCCGCCTCGGGCGTCGGCACGTATGGCGGGTTCACCACCATCACATCCACCATCCCCGCGAGTCTCCGGTCGAGCCCGGTGGCAATGTTGGTGGTTAGCAACTCGGCGTGGACCCCGTGGGCTTGGAGGGTGTCGTGGGTTACTTTTAGGGCATGTGGGTTGATGTCTGTGGCAAAGTAATGGGTGGCTTTAAGGTCTTGGAGGATGAGAGCGAGACTAGTGACGACATAGCCACTACCGCTTCCGATTTCAATGCAGATTGAGGGGCGGTGGTGTAAGAGGTGTTTCCGGTCAGCTAATAGCGCGTCCACTAAAGCGAATGAGTCATCGCATGGTTCGTAGACTTGAGGGTGTGAACTCGTGAGTCGGATTTGCGCAATTCGTGAGGGCATATTTGTGGAAAATCTGCATAAAACAAGTAAAGTTTTACAACTCAAAAACACAAAAGTTGTAAAGTTACATCTACACAATAGAGATGTAAATATGAAAGCAAAGGCAACAAGATGCAGAGAAACAAAATCAGGAAAGAGTATGTTCATCAAAGTAAGAAGCAGTGAGTACAAGAAACAGGAACAAGTAGAAAGGATAGAACAACTTACATAATTTCTTCAATAGAAGATAAGGGCTGCAGATATTGGAAGAAAGGTCCAGAATAGCACAAAGAAAGCCAGTATCCACGATGAAGATGTTAGGGTTTATGAAGAGTCGGTAAACCTTAAAATTATTGCAAGGAACACAATCAGCACAATACTGAGACTCGATAGCACAAACAAAACCAAAACAAGAAACAGAACACCTTACTCAAATCAAAATCAAACAACGAGAGAGAAACTATTTAATTGTTCAAGAACGATAAACTCAACAGAAGAGATATCTAAGAAAACGTTTGAAATAACCAATTACACCGGTGTATCGATGATTCGATAGCAGAGAGTGATTAGAAACACAACGATGATAGATTCGATGAATCGAACCAAGGCAAAGAGACTATGACTTACGTGTATTAGTTCAGAGAAACAAATCTCCAATTCCTTATATCACAAAACCTCAACAAAACAGAAACTGTCATAATCCAAACTAAGAATACTCGTGTGTATATAAAGAACAAAATACCTTCAATGAACGTTTGCCGGAAATTAACCTTGACAGAACTTTGGGAAGGGATAAAGGAGAAATTAAAATGAGAAGAGGGATGAAATCGATGAACAAATAGGGGGCAGAAATGGAGGTTTGGTTAGGTTTCGCTTTAAATTTGTTTTGTCTAAGCAAAAGAGTTTTATCGATTAGTACGAGAGAGGAAGGAGACAGCGGAAAGGGTGGCCGGCAGGGAGGTGAAGGAGATGGTGAAGGGTAGTGGGGAGTGGTGTCGCTGGTTTATCGAAAACGATGGGGATTGGGTAGGGTTGTGCTATGGTATGGCATATGAGTTTGTTACTCGAACCCAGCCTGTCACGCCTGTTTTAAGTTTTAAAAATGAAAATGCTATTTTTATTTAGGGGTGTCAACTCGGGATTCATTCTTTAAAAATCACCAATCCAACCTGAAAATAGATAGGTTTAGTTTGAGATTTTTTATTCACCAACCCGTTTATTTCATGGGTCTTACATCAAACCATAAGAGGAAAAATGTTGACAGCTTAGTAGACTAGATAGTGTATTGAAGGACATGAATATTTATAGACAAGTGCTTCATAGAGCACATATAAGAAAGGCTATTACTTAATCAAAAGAAAAGATGTGCTAGACATTTTCTAACGGCAACGGTCATTCCTCGGGCGAACCCTAAGGTCTGCCAGTTGACGTTCCATGTTGAGAAGGTGTCGTTCATAAACTCTCTGGCGAACCCGAAGTTTTATGATTTCAGCCTGAGTCTCAGCTAGTGCTTGTAGCAGGGCCTCGTGGTCTGTTGCACACCTCCCCCGAGTATTTTCAAGATGAATGGTGCGAAGGTTATGCATTCTAGCGTTGGCATCAACCTCCGTGATGTGATAGAGAGTTGTCCTGCCCTGGATTTCGTTTCGGGCAACTCTACAGACCAGGATTGGCAAGACTCTATCTGTTGAGCCTCCTTCACTCAACTCATAAAAGTTTCGGTCTCCATTGAATGGCATGGGTTGATTTTGCTCTTTGCTCCATGTTTCCAAGCATTCCACCCATGCAGGCATCGGGCCTTGAAAAGTCGGACGAGGGTTAGGATTTGGGATAAGAGTCGCAGAGGGTAGGTTGTTAACTTCTGGCTCGGAGTCAAAACCATCAAAAAAGCCTTCTGCATGGTGATCATCCAAAGGGATTGGATGATCATCTTCTGGCTCG